AGGCGACGGCCGGCGTTCCCTGCGGGGGGGGGCGGGGAGGTCGCGTTTTTTTGTTGTTGTTGTTGTGTTGCGGCGCGGGCAGCGGGGCGACACGAGGGGGGGGGCGGCCGCCTGAGCACGTGGCACTGCTCCTCCTCCTCCTCCTTCCCCCCCTCGTCGTCGTCGTCCTCCTCCTCCTCCTCCTCCTCCTCCTCCTCCTCCCCCGCCTCCTCCTCCTCCTCCTCCCCCTCCTCCTCCTCCTCCTCACACTCGAGCGATCCTGCTTCGGCGAGGACCGTCGAGGAGCGCCCTGGGTCCTGCTCCTCCTCCTCCTCCTTCCCCCCCTCGTCGTCGTCGTCCTCCTCCTCCTCCTCCTCCTCCTCCTCCTCCTCCCCCGCCTCCTCCTCCTCCTCCTCCCCCTCCTCCTCCTCCTCCTCACACTCGAGCGATCCTGCTTCGGCGAGGACCGTCGAGGAGCGCCCTGGGTCCCCGGGCACAGCCGAAGCATCACGCAGGAGGGCGACCACTTTTTGGACGCCCGAAGTGGGTACGGAAAGAACGGGCACAGTGCCCAACAGCAGCTCCTGCTCATTTTGAACAGGACTCGCTGTCCGCGCTGCCGCGGCCTGTGTCCATTTGAGACAGAAGGCCGCCTGCCCAACAGCGGCTGCTGTTGGCTTGGACACCATTTGTTGTTGGGCATCGTACCCACTCTTTCCGCACATCTTTCGGGCGCCCAAACACTTGCACGGTGCATGGACGCCCGCGCGATGGCAAAACCGCCAGGGGGACGCCGACGGCGACGGGCGGCGCCACGCCTCTGCGAGGTGGGCCGGCGAGCGCGCGCTCCGCTAGCGCCTCAACGGCGGCGACGAGGCGGCGGCGGCGAGCCATCGCCCGAGCGCCCAGCACACGTTGTGCAGGCACTGCTTCTTGCCAGGAGGAGAACGAGCACACAGGTACAATGGATCGTCGACGTCCAGGAAAAGATATGCGAACGTATAGGAAGGGGGGGGGGGAAGACAGGAACCCAGAGACTATGGGGAAGGATGTGAAGTCCGGTTATTTGTGTCTGTTTATTTGTGTTTCCCAGGGCCCCTTCATCTGGAGCACTTGACCACGCGGAGCCTGATAGCGGGCCCTGGCAGCGCCAGGGCCGCTTTTGTTGCCGGCTCCGTCCGGCCGTTCCTTTGCCGGTTCCGACGCCGTTGCTGTTGCCGGCTCCGTTTGGCCGTGGTTTCTCCCGGTTCGGCTCCAGTTCCATTCCCGGAACCGCTTTTGTTGTTGTTTCCAGTCGGCGTTGTCTTGCAATTTCAAGGGCGATAATTCGAGACAGATCGAGGTCGGTTCGGGGAGGGTACCCTTGTGTTTTGCGTGGTTAGTCGGATGTTCTTGTGCATTTTTGGGGAGCGTGCCCTTGGATATTATGTTTTCGGGTGCCGACGGAGGGTCTCGTGTTCTTGAAGGATGTTATTCTGGTCTAGGTCTGGCTGTACCTGCCCACAGCAATGCGAAATGCGTTCCTCGTGGTCAACTTGCACGGTCCGTGTCCTGAAGGTCCCCTCCGTCTTCTTTTCCTGCTATCCCCAGTTTATTTGGCCTCAGAGCCCCGAATCATCAGGGGTAACTCGGGTCAGGGATAACTCGGGTTCGTTTTTCGGGAATCCAAACCCGAGTTACCCCGGACCCGAGTTATCCCGGATAACTCGGGCGTCCAGAGCCCCGAATCATCAGGGGTAACTCGGGTCAGGGCTAACTCGGGTTCCTTTCTCGGGAATCCAAACCCGAGTTACCCCGGACCCGAGTTATCCCGGATAACTCGGGCGCCCAATGGCCCCTCTCTTCCTATCTTCAATTTCCCTACAGCGTTCCTCTCTTCCTCTTCCTCTCTTCCTACTCATCTTGTTAATTTTGTTACAACGTTCCTCTTCCTCTTCCTCCTGCTATCCCCAATTTATTTGGTCCCTCTCTTCCTCATCCTTCATTTCCCTACAGCGTGCTCCTCCGTGCGTCACGGGCGGAAGAGCACGTTGCTCGAGGGTCTGCTAACGAAGCGTTCGATCACGCACTCTCTGCTAACACGACATATATGTTTTTTAACACCTATGACCTTAGTTGTCTCTCAAAATGGCCAGGGCATGTTTTTCATTCTTCGTGCTCCGCTCTTGGAGAAAAGTGAAACGAACGTAAAACGAGACTCGACAGCGCAAAATAAAAACGGCGCCGCGGGGGAGCGAACACGGACAGAAGACATAGCAGCCGAAAACGGCGCCCTCCAGAACCTTTCGAGGCCCCCGAAGCGGACAACAAAAAACACGACGGAGTGCTTTTCAATTTGCCTCAGTCCGTGGCCCGAGTTTCGGCCGCGTTCGCAGGACAGGGCTGCGGAAACGCATGCTTTCTTATGGCACGCTCATGGCACGCATCCACTCCTAAATACAGCATGGAGGAAGGATTCTCTTTTCAGGGGGCGGGCAAACTCTTGGATGGCCGTCCCGGTCATGCTTTGATTGGTGTTGGTGCGTGAAGTCATCCCGAGCCCACGGGCCCTGCGCACCCTTGACTGAGACGGCTGCTCTGGGGGGAGGGTTGAGTCAGCCGTGTTTTCGCTTTCAGCTGCCCGTGGATCCCCGTGGCTTCCCCCCCACCCCCGCCCGCTCCGATTTTTTTAATCAATTCAGGCACGTCTTCAGCAAATCGTGACCAGGACGGCCGTCAAAGAGCCTGCCCCTCGAAGACGGAAGCGCTTCTTCCGCCCCGAGCGCCTCCTCCGACAGCGACTGAGAGATGTGAGCGGCCCCCCGGTCGCCGGTCGCCTGCGCGACGCGATTGGCCATTTAGGGATAGACGGGAACGGGCCAAAAGAAACGCTGACATTTGAAAACGACTACACGAAAACGGCAGCGGAAGCTGAACAAAAACGTTGTTTGGTTTCACTGAAATCGGGAAAACAACGAAGTCGAAAACGGATCTATAACGTCGAAGTTCAAAACGAAAGAAAAACGCCTTGACCGTTTCGAAAGACATCTTAGCCGATGACCTCCGAAGACTGCCAAAGACCGTGTCGGGCCGCCGAAAGACCGCCGAAAGACCGCCGAAAGACCGCCGAAAACCGCCGAAGATCGTGTCGGGCCCCCAGCGCCCGCCCGCAGCGGGGCGCGCGCTCGCTGGCGGTCTTCCGTGGTCTTCTGGCGCAGAGGCCAAGAGGTGCAGTGAGTGGTCCACGATGTAGCGCGTAAGATTTGGCCCGCTCGGACGCCTCGAGCGGGGTTGACGACGCCCGCCCAATCTGTAATGAGGGGGAGAAGGCGGATGGTGAGGAGCAGCAGGAAGGAGGCGGGAGCAGCAGGCAGGAGGAGGAGGTTCAGGAGGCAGGAGGAGGAGGAGGAGGAGGAGGCTGGAGGAGGAGAAGGAGGAGGAGGAGGAGGAGGAGGTTTGAGGAGGAGGAGGAGGAGGAGGAGGAGGGACGAAGAGAGGAGCAGGAGGGCGGGGACGGAGGAGCCTGGTGCAGCTGCCGTTGCCCCGTGGCCCTCATGCCGAGATTGCTGCCCCTACTGCCGCCGCTCCTCTTCCCCCCGAGGCGTGTGCCCGATGTCTGTGATGATGGGCCTGTTTTCCACCACCACCACCACCACTACAACCACCATAAGTTGGACGGGGGGAGGAGGTGGAAGATGAGGAGGAGGAAGCGGAGACGGAGGAGGAGGAGGAGGAGGAGGACCCTCTCCCCCTCCTACTCATGGTTGTGGTGGTGGTGGTGGTGGTAAACAACAAGCCCATCATGTGCTGCTCTGCTCACTGCCGGCCGTGCGACAAGCAGTGCCTTCGGCGGCGGCTCCATTTCACGGCGTCCGCTACGGCTCTGCGGACTGCTGCCCATGAGTCTATAGGGCTCCTCGGTGGGATCGGGGTAGATGGGGTCGGGAGAATGTGGCGCATCGCGGATGCATCGGCGTTGTGGCGCGATGCGCAGTCCTATTTTCTCCATGCCGATCTCGCCGATGCATCGCCGATGCGTCGCCGATGCGTCGCCGATGCATCGCCGATGCGCCGCGATCTTCCGACCCCATCGACTCTGACCCCATCTAGGAGGCTTTAACGCGGGAGGGTGTTGCGTGCGCTTCCGGTGGAACGGAGCAGTTCTCCCCAACCCCCGCTAAGGTGTTGCAATAGGTTCCGCCCACTGTGATTAGCAGGCCATGCCTGCAGAATCAAGGGTACCGTTGCGCCCTTCGAGGGAGCACAAGCCACCCCGACCCAAATAACTGACGTTTGCGAAACAGCCCTGGGCGTATACTCAACAGCCCTTCCCTGTTCGATTCCTTCCCTGGGTGCGTTTTCTGCCTGACTTCGCTTGTTGGGGTGCTTATTCTAGGGGGGGCGTTCTGCTTTCCAGTCCTGCTTATCGCGTGGCTCGTTTTTTGGTTCGCACGTTTGCTTTTATTGTATGGACGAGAGGCTGCCCTCGGATGAGCTTCAGGAGCTCGTCTACCCTCTGCGTGCGAGCGCGCCGCTGCGCGACCTCGGCGGCGAGCCCGGGAGGGCAGTGAGAGGGAGAATGCCTTCTCAGCAGACTCAGAAGCCCCCTGGCCTCCTAAAAAGCTTCCGATGCCTTCCCAGAAGACATGCGGTTTCTCAGCAGGCGCGAGGGCTTCTGAGAAGTCCCGCCGTCTTCTCAGAAGGCCTTCTCCTCCTCACTTCCTCCCCCTCGCTCGCCGCCGCCAACTCCTACCCTATCCAGGTGTTCCTGGGCGGGGGCCATTGGAGGAATCCTGGGCGTCCGTGCCCAGCGGCCCCCCCCCCAGAGAGAACATCCCCGATGTTCTCCTCGGGGGCGCCGCCCGGGGGTGGGGGCCGCAACCGCGCCTCCGCCGCCGCCGTCTTCGGTCTCTCAGTCTGTCGTCGTCACGATCGCCGCCGTCGCCGACGAGCGTGGCTGACGTCGACGATCGTCATCGTCGCGATCGTCGCCGTCGTCGCCCATCGTTTCTCGCACCCCCCCCTTCCCTCCTCCGCGCCAGGCGTGGACAACTGGAAGACGGGCTGGTCGAGCGCCAAAGTGGACTGGTGCTCCAGGGGGCGGCGTGGAGGGGAGGGGGAGGGGGAGGGGGAGGGGGAGGAGGGGGGAGGGGGGAGGGGGGGGGGGAGGGGGTGGAAGGGAGGGGGGGGGTGATGACCGGCGGAGCTGGGAGGGCGCGCCGTCCGTCGCCGTTGCCGCGAGCGCTCGCGTGCCTCGGCGCGCGGCGTGCCTGTCTCTCCCGTGCCCTCCGCGCCCGCTCCAGCGCTGCTGGAGGCTGCTCCGGGCACCGCCAGGGCCCCGAGCAGCGGTCAGGGGCGGCCACGGGCTCGCGCCTCGGGGGCGCACGCCGGAGTCACACCCTGGGCCGCCGTTGTCCTGGATCGGGGGTGGACAGAACCCCCAACAGTGACACGTCGATTATCGGGCGAAGAGAACTATGCACATGCACCGATCCTGGCAAGGCCCATCCTTGACCCAGGATCGGTGCATATTCCTTCCTGGCCAAGGTAGGAGGGCGTATGCACCGATCCTGGGCTCAGGATGGGCCTGGCCAGAATCGGCGTATGTGCATAGTTCTTTTTCCTCTAGATTAGTGGATTGTCCGTTTTCGGTTCTCGAGAGGGCGCCGTGGCCGTTGCTATCCAGGCTCGCGCCCGCCAGGTTTGGGCCTCAGGTCGTTGTCACTACACCACGTTTTGCGAACTGGGGGGCCGTCCTATCCCCGACCGGACAGCTCCGGCGTCCAAGCCTCCCGAGGCATCAGCGCCGTGGGCAGTCAGGGGCAATCGCAGACTCGCGCCTCGGGGGGCCAAGTCGGGGTTGCTCTGGCCCGCGGTTGTCATGGACAAATCGGGCGTCCAAGATCGTTCAAGGTCCTCATTCTCGTCGCACTTCCTCTCCCCGCTGTTCCCGCCTCCCCTCGTCATCCTCCCGCCCTCATCTTCCACCCCTCCCCCCACTCACAATCTGCTCCTTAGCTCCCCTGGAGCGCGTTCGGACGGGGACTTCGAGGCGGATCCGACCGTGTCGGCCAGGGCGGAAATCTGCAGAGGTCTTCGGAGAGGCCCCAAGCGATGTCGGCGAAGGCTGGACCCCCTCTCGCTTCCCTTTCCCCGGGCTCGCCGCCGCAAGATGGGGGAGGTGCTGCCAGAACTACGACGCGCAGTTCTGCAGCACCGACGGCTACAGCTGCGACGAGGGCGTGGCCACCTGGCGCGAGGGCTGGTCCGACAAGAAGGAGGGGGTTGCCCGCGAAGGAGGGGGATACCGAGGAGGAGGAGGACGAGGATGTGGAAGAGGAGGAGACACAACGAGGGGGAGGTAAGAAAGGAGGACCTGGGATGCTAATCAGGATGATGATGATGATGATGATGATGATGATGATGATGATGATGATGATGATGATGATGATGATGATGATGATGATTATGATGATGATGATGATGATGATGATGATGATGATGATGATGATGATGATGATGATGATGATGCTGATGATGATGATGATGATGATGATGATGATGATGATGATGATGATGATGATGATGATGATAATGAGGAGGAGGAGCAGGAGAAGGAGAGTGGAAAATTGAGGAACAGTGAGGGAGGAGGATGAGAAGGAGTCGCAAGGACGAGGAAGAGGTGGAGAAGGGTGGAAGGAGGGGAAGGGTGGAAGACGGGGGGCCGTGTATGAGACCAGCCGCAACATTACGAGCCGAAAGAAGCTGTTCGCGGTCAGTTTCGAAAAGCGTGCTGGAGGAGAGGGTATCGTTGCGAGAGTCCCCCCGCGGAGCCCCATGGGAGCGCCCCCTCGGAAAGGCGACCGCCCCGTGGGCAAGCCGTTCAGGCGAAAGCCTCGTTTTGATACGGATTTGACTTTTTTCGATCCAGCTTTCAGGAAGGCGCTCGGACTCGGCAGTGGAATCCGAACACTGCCTTTGCCGATCAACGATTCAGGCAACCGGATGGGTGGCGGGGGCAGGGGTCGGAAGTCGTCGAGCACGTGGCGAAAGTGTTGCCCTACCCCCGCCTCCCGTCGATCCAGGAGAGTCGATGGTTGCTGGGATGGCTGGGATGTCGCCACCCATATAAAGAATGCGCAGCTATAGGATCATGCAGTTCAGGGATGCGTCCACTGGGAGCTCTGTCTTGAGAGGGAACCGCCACTGCGCCGTGCATCCATGCACCTGCTGCGCAATTTCACCGCGGGCCATGATCCACGACTTGAGGTCGTACCAAGCGATAGCCCCATGTTGAACACCATGGCTGGAACGATACGCTGCTTTGCTTGGCGTCGGCCGTGTTTTCAGTTTTTCGTTTTGGCTGGGGACTACAGGACAACAGGTAGAGCAACACGAAACACAAAACGAAAACAGAACGAACAACAGCGGTTAGGTGCAGCCCGGTTGAGAACCAACTGCCCTGCGCCCGTGCAATTACTAGGAAACCTGCCGACACGCCTGGCCGGCTTGTGATCAGGAGACGCCGTTCACATGTTGGCGAGGGAGAGGGGGCACAAGAGGAAACGGGACGGGAGGGGCGGGGGAGGAGGTGAGGTAGGAGCGGGGGGTGGCAACGGGAGGAGGAGGCAGAGAAGGGGAGGAGGCGGTGGACGGAAGGCAGGAGGCTCAGGAGGGAGGTGTGGGAAAACAGAAGGAGGAGGAGGATCAGGAGAAGGATTACAAGGAGGACCATGCTGAGCAGGAGGGACGAGGAAGAGTAGGACGAAGACCATGAGAGGCAGAAAGAGGGTGATAAGGAGGAGGAGCAGGAGGTAGAGTACGAGGAGAGAAGGGAGACGGCGATGAGGAGGAAGGCGCAGGATGACATAAGTTGGATGAAGACGAACATGGATACTGTGGAGGAGGAGGAGGAGGAGGACGAGGAGGAGGAGGAGGAGGGAAAAGGAGGAGCAGCAGTCAGAAGGGAATGATGGTTGAAATGCTGATGACGGGATTCGGAGGAGGAGGGTGCGGCCGGCATCGGGGGGTGTTGCTCCCCGGCCGCCCGCCACTCCCTCCCCCTTGCCGCGCGGAGATCCAGTGGTGCTGCGAGCACTCCGGCGACGCGCAGTTCTGCGAGGGGGAGCCGCGGGGGGGCGCTCGTTCTTGTAGGGAAACAAACAGTGACATAAACATAAAAACTCGGAGAACCGCGCGGATTTCTCGGATCGGGGGTAGGGGCCTCCCGGCGGCGCCTCCGGCGCCGCCCCTGGCGCGCTCCGCGCGCTAGGGAGGGGGGTCCAGCGCCGATCCGAGAAATCCGCGTGGACCTCCGAGTTTTTATGTTTATGTCACTTTTGGTTCCCCTATCTTGAGGGGGGGAAGTCGAACGGGGCTAGGACGAGGATAGATCTGTTCCAGAGCGTTCCGGAACTCGAAGGAGAAAGAAGGCTCGGGAGCCTTGAGACAGGGTTCAGTGCAAACGGGGCTTCAGCCAGAGCGCCCGATCTTGAAGGATCCTACAGGGCCATGGTCGCACCGACCCAGGTTGGTTGCAGGATCCTGCAGGATCTTGCAGGATCCTTAGCATTGATCCAGGTTTGGTTGCAGGATCTTGAAGGATTCTGCAAGGCCTCACTGACCCGGGTCTGGATTGACCTGGGTCAGCAGATCCCCGAAAGCCATAAACATTAATTTTTGATGCTCGCGCGGATTTCGTGGGGCCCCCCCGGCGCCGCCCCTGGCGCGCTCCGCGCGCCAGGGAGGGGGTCCAGCGCAGATCCAAGTAATCCGCGCAGAGCGCCAAACGTTTATGTTTGTGTCGTTTTTTCTTCCTCTAGGAACGCTCTCAGAGCGTTCGTAGACTACTACTACTACTACTACTACGACTACTACTTTCTTACTACTACTACTAACTACTACTACTACTAGCTACTACTACTACTAACTACTACTA